ACTAAGCTGTTTTATGGATGGTAACTGTAATATTATTACTGAAATCTTATTAGAAATTAGTTACACTACTAGTTACTGAAAAAAGTAATATTATTACAGTAACTTAGTTACTAGTTACTGCCCAACAGTGATCAGTGCTGCCGTACCTGCACATGTGTGACAGAGTTGAGCGATGTCCAGATGTTGAGTCTGGTTGCTGATGAGATTGTTGAGCACACAGCTGTATGTGTTTTTATCCTGATATTCCACCTCCAGAGGTAGAGAGAGACTGATGCTGAGATCAGACACACTGATGCTGGACAATAAACTGTTTCCTTTGTACCAGGAGAGAGTCACATGACTCACATTCACCACTGAACACACCAGTGAACATGATGATGATGATGATGATGAAGAACACTGTGAAGAGTTACTGCTGATGACAGGAACAGGCAGACGAGCTGAAAACATGAATAAATCTAATCAACAATCGTATTTTCACTTTAATATGTTGAGTGAATGTTTAGTGTAATTATTTAATAAAACAAAAACATGTGAAGGGCAAGGATCTCTACTTACCATAGACAGAAACATTGAATGTTTTTGATGCTAGATTCGCTCCACTTATGTCTAGTTTATAGAGTCCAGCATGTTCAGTTGTGATGTTTGTGATGGTCAGAGATCCAGTTTGATTGTCCAGCTTCAGTCTATCTCTGAATCTCCCGTCAAGAACATCAGATGTGGGGAGGATTTGCTTCTTTTTGTTAATTTTAGCCAGGAGAGAGGTTTCATTTCTAATATTCCACAGTAAGTGGTCGTTTTCACAGATTTCAGTAAAATCATTGTGTAGTAGGACAGTATCTCCCTCCATCACTGGCATTGACTGTATTTCATTTGTTTTAGGACCAAACACACCTGAAGAACATGAACATGGACAAATTAAAGCTCCTTTTGCTTTATAAACCCTGAAATCAGCTTGTATTGTTTAAATATAAGCTCAATACAACAACAGATATTTATTGTATTTTAAACGTATCTTCTGTACTGTAAAATCAACGTGTGAAGTTACTTATTTAAAGAATAAATAGATGATAATAATTACTACAACTTAATTCATTCTCATAGACAGATCAAGACATAGCAGGCTCCCTGCATCTGATTCCCTTAATTCGCATGGGGTTTCTACAGTTGTTATCCAGTGAATTTTCATGCATTGACTGTATTTCATTTGTTTTAGGACCAAACACACCTGAAGAACATGAACATGGACAAATTAAAGCTCCTTTTGCTTTATAAACCCTGAAATCAGCTTGTATTTTTTAAATATAAGCTCAGTACAACAACAGATATTTATTGTATTTTAAACGTATCTTCTGTACTATAAAATCAACGTGTGAAGTTACTTATTTAAAGAATAAATAGATGATAATAATTACTACAACTTAATTCATTCTCATAGACAGATCAAGACATAGCAGGCTCCCTGCATCTGATTCCCTTAATTCGCATGGGGTTTCTACAGTTGTTATCCAGTGAATTTTCATGACTTCTGCACGTTTACTGCTGAAGTGTATTTAAAAATATTTCTTAGATATTACTGGAGAGGATTTGCATTTATTATTCTTGAAATAAATGTGTGATTACAAAAGATGCATGAGATTTGAAAATGAGAAATTTACAATAACAACAGAAGGCTTGGAAATTTCGATTTAAAATTCTGTAAAAAAAAAAAGAAAGAAAAAAGACCTCAGCAGATGGAAATGATCTAATCTGAATTTTAGCAGTTGCTTTGTTTCCAGGAAATGGAAATTAGGCCATATTATAAAAATGTATTCATAAAAAAAAAAACTTGTATAACTTACCGATCAGGTGCCACCAGCAAAAACGAAACAAAAATATATGAAACATTTTGTTAAACTGTTCACAAAAAAGTATGATCTAATAAGACCATCTACTGAAAACTCTCAACCTGTTCATTTGGTTTGTAAATCCTCCCACAACAGCATTTGCCCCACCTATTTTACATGCACATGCTCTGAACTTAAAAAGAAAAGAAAAAAAACGTATAGATTGCATACATTTTTTTTTTTGGAAGTACATTTCATGGCAAAATGGAGCTCTGGTTTTAAAATGGTTGTATATATATTTATAGTTTTAATGTATGAAAAAACAAAGCACACAGTTAAAACCATCTGCCATCTCACAGCATCTGTTTTACTAACTTTCATCTTCTCAGTGAAACTGAAACCTGCTCTGGTTCATTTCATCCCCCACCCCCACCCCCACAAATGTTTAATCTTTTGGGTGGGCAAACATGTTGTAGATGAGAGTGGACATTCAGTGCATGAGTGTTTGTAGGTGAAGAGTGACTCTGTAGTCTTCAGAAACAAACCATGATGAGACACTTTCTTTGACACAGAGGGAGGCAAACAAAAGAAAGGCATTTTGCTGGCCACAGTGATTATTTTGCTCATATTAAATAAATCAAGTGTCAGTTCATGCAGGCCACATCAGTCAAGCTTGTGTAACAGAGGTTAGGGCCTGCCTGGTAAGGGAAAATATAAAGCTACCTACCTTGGAAGACTAAAAGTGCAAGGATCCCAGTCTTTTCAGTCTCAGTACACGCAAAAATGTGTATGTTATTTCTTACCTTATTGTGTTTTTTTTTTACACTACAGGAATAAGCAAGCAAAAAGCAGGAATAAGCAAGGTAATATTACAGATCAAATTACAGATTAAAAAGTGTCACTGCTAACCAGATTTATTCTCTCTGTTTTAGGAAACTGGAATTTGAGTTTTGCTTCAAGTGGATTGAAATGTAATAAAGAACTACAACTACAATAACTGAAAAAAAAAAAGAAAAAAAGTCTTGTATCCAAATAAATCTTTGAATGTTCCACAGGGTTCTCAAATTGATCTTTCAATATGAATTTGAACCAAGTTACCATTAATTTAAACTTTTGAGTTGTACCAAAGACTATTGTATAGCTCAATAAATGCAAATGTGCAATACTTAACAATAACGCAACTCAAAAGATTCTTATGAATCAACGCCTTCTTTTGTTAAATCATCCTTCAAATAAAGTTCAGTCCACATTTACAATACAAATTGAATAATCAGTGTAATGTGTGTAATGAGTGTAGCAGTCAGTGTAATAAGTGTACCAGTACCAGTCTGTACCAGCAAGAGATTTAAGACGATGAGAAGACTTGCGATGAGAAGTGAAGAGATGACTTTAGATGAGTAATAGGGAACTGAGATGAACCAGCAAAGAGATGTCAATCTGTGTGGCAGGGTAATAAACACACACACACACACAGAGAAAAAAAAAAAAGAAGGGAAAAAAAAAACCTTGAGAAAAAAAACTGAAACGTCAATGCAGACAGAAAAACTTGAGCGCTTTCTGGAACAAAATGTTGCAGCTCAGCCATAGCACGATTGCAGCACGGCCGGAAGGAAAAAATGTCCAACTCTCAAATTCTCAAAGCAAAACTTGATCGCAGATGAAAGTCAGTCTCTCTCCAAAAACACCAAAAGGACTTTAACAAATATAAAAAAAAAAACTGAATCACGATCTATAACACAGTTCGTGTATTACTCGGGAACGCAGCAGAATCCTCAAAAAAAAGCTTAGATGCAGAATGTGCCAGGAACAACAGTGTTCTGAAAGAAACTCATGATTCTCCTGAACTTCTGCTTAAAGGGGTCATTGTCACAATACGCTGCCGGAAGGAACGAAGGAGCCATGGATACACGAAACTGTCTTTTATTCAATCCAACACACAGGGTAAATCCACACTTGGAAGGGAAGGAAGACACACGTACCCAACTGGTAGACCCAACAAAGGAGGAATGCACAGACAGGAACTTAAATACATGACTTAACGAGGCAATTGGGAGGAACACAGGTGAACAGAATGACTAATTAAAAGACAACGAGGACAGGAACAGGAATGACCAAATAAGGGCACATGAGGGAGAAACTGGGTCACGGGGAGCACATGGGGAGCAAAACACAACAAAGACAGTCCTATCCTGACATTTCGTCCCCCTCCCGGAAGAACCACGCAGTAGAACCAACAGAGGGAGGGATGGGTGGGAACTGGGAGGAGGCTCAGGAGGAAGATGGATGCTATAATCAGGAGGGGGCCGGCAGACAGAGTCCAGGAAGGTGACGATGGAGGGAGGAGCCAAGGAAGAAACAGGAGGAGCCAGGGCAGATCAGACGGAGGAAGGAGCCAGGGAGATGACAGGAGGGACTTGGAGCATGCGGCGCCAGGTGGGACCCAGGCCACAGCCATAATGGTGACCAACGGTGGAGCCGACGGAGGGAGTTGCCATGGAGGAGGAAGGGCTGACGACTCCAGGGGGCTAACCGACTGCGGCGGAGCAGGTGGCCGAGCAGCCTGAGGCGAAGACGGAGAGCCGATGAGCCAGGGCGACAGGGAGGATCCGGAGGGCCAAGGCAGAGCAGATGGCTCCTGGTGGATCCAGAAGGCCGCGGTGGAGCCGGAATGACAGAGGACTGAGGAGGAGCCGAAGGGATGGAGGAGCCTGATAGAGCTGGAGGGACGGAGGGACGAGGCGCAGCTAGAGGAGTGGAGTCCCGAGGCGACGGATGGTCGACGACAGACCAAGGTGGAGCCGGAGGGACGAGGGAGCCCGGTGGAGCCAGTGGACTGATGGGCCATGGCAGAGAGGAGGGAGCTAGGAGCCATGGTGGAGCTGCTGGGTCGACGGGCTGAGGCGGAGTACGGGGCTTAGAGGCTGGAGGCGAAGGCCAGGGATTCTCCAGCCACGGTGACGATGGAGGATGGCAGACCCACGGAGCTCGCACCGTACAGATGGTGGGCTGAGGGCGAGCAGAGGGGCTGCCAGACGACAGTTTGTGAGACATTTGTGAGCCTCCAGGCTCTCCAGGCTTAACTTGGGAACAGGAGCCCTCTCGGGGCTGGACGTGGAAACAGGAACGGAAGGGACAGAGGTCACCGATGGAGGAGGGAGGAAAGGGGGCAGGTCGGCATACAAATCAATCAGTCTCTTTCCACTTTTCCTTTACCCAGATCCTTAGACAGCTCACCCTCAGCCACGGTGCAGGGGGCGGAGCTCCTCTCTGCACTCTCACTGTCCATGACGCTCTCCCCCGTGGAGAGCTCTGTAGCTGGCTCTCGCACCTGGTCTGACGTCACAGGCTCGGGCTCCTCCGCACTGTCGCTCTCTCTGGCGATGGCTCGTCGGTCACGGCGGGCTCTGGCTCTCCGTCAGCGGTGGGCCCAGTCTTAAGCTCCGCGCAGCGGGGTGATGGTGGGCTGGGCTCTGGGTCTGGCTGTGTTCTGGATCGGGGGTAGACACTCTCCAGACACTGGATGATAGCCTCCCTCCAGCACAGTCGGTGGTGTCTGGGAGGTCGACGGGGCAGTAGTAGTTGGCCCCGATCCAGAACAGGGAGTTCAGCGCAGCATCGTCGAACGCCGTTAAAACTGCGAGCTGGCTGAACTCCACAGCATACTCCAAGAGGTGAAAGGTCCTTGTGGGCGAGGGAGGTAAACTTGACAGCGAGGGAATCCATGGGGAAGGAAACACTGCGCAAACAAAAAACACTGAATGGAAAACGGAAAACAAACGGAGGGGAGACACGTAGTTAAACAGTTTGTGGTCAGGTCTTCTGTCACGATACGCTGCCGGAAGGAACAAAGGAGCCGTGGATAAACGAAATCATTCAATCCAACACACAGGGTAAATCCACACTTGGAAGGGAAGGAAGACACACATACACAACTGGTAGACCTGACAAAGGAGGAAATCACAGACAGAAACTTAAATACATGATTTAATGAGGCAATTGGGAGGAACACAGGTGAACAGAATGACTAATTAAGAGACAACAAGGACAGGAACAGGAACGACCAAATAAGAGCACATGAGGGATTTAAAAGTTAAGACTCGTCCACACCCCCCTAAAACGCCTCGTTTAAACATGCCCCCTCATGTCTACGTCACTGTGTGGGAAGATTTGTATAACGCCGCCCAAATGTTCACGCAAAGAAAGAAGGCGTAACTTTGATTCTCGCTGTAGTATTGTTGCTGCCGCCGCTGCCATGTCGTGAAGACTCTGTGTGTTTCATTGCGAAAGCCAAACTACTTGGTTTGGCCTTCCAAAAGAGGACACAACTAGAAATCAGTGGTTAAGTTGTATTTACAACACATTTTACGGAGGACTGTTTCCTGAACCTGGGAGAGTAGCCTACAATGCCGTCTGTTCTGACTCACAGCCTGTAAGTACATTTTCATATTTAAAGAATTTGCCACTGATGATTCAAACACGAGTTTCGGCCAATCACAACGCACTGGATAGCTGGCCAATCAGCGTACAGCTTGCTTTTCAGAATTATGAGCTTTGTAAAAATCGACGCTTTTCAGAAAGGCGGGGAATAGAGGAGAAACAATAATGTACAGTGTGTGGAAAATATTATAAATATAAATAGTGTTTTTGAACCTTAAACCGCATAAACACATTTCATTACACCAAATACACAAAAAAATGGGCCTTTCCTCCAAGTCCTTTCCACCCTGGACATCCAGTGGAAGATGTACATGCCTCCCAAACATTAAATAAAATGGGGAATACCCTGTGAATGAGAGGACTTGATGTATGCCATCACTAACTCTGGTTGGTGAGTTTTCCAATCCTTTTTTTCCACAGGTGGCAATGTTCTCAGCATATTGTGCATGGTGTGGTTGTACTTCTTACAAAGTTCCTTAATCACTTGATCCTCAAAGCATCTTCCCTGGTTGGAGTGCAAATGAACTGGACACCCATAGTAAGCAAACCGATGCTTGATGAGGGGCTTTGCAATAGTACATGCCGTTTGGTTCTTGGTTGGGACAGCAACTGTAAATCGGGTAAAGACTTCAGTCAGGATATGTCCTAAGGATATTCCCAGCTGGAGCAGTGACAATGCTGCATGTCATCGGGGCTTGGATTCCTGGAAATACATCCTTTGCGAGGGTACATCTTTTACACTGTTCTATCCTTCCTTGGACATCTTTAGATATGTTAGGACAGGGATGGGCAACTTCAGTCCTGGAGAGCCACTGTTTAGCTCCAACCCTAATCAAACACGCCTGGCTGTAGCTTTCTAGTGATCTTGAAGACAGTGAGTACATTTACATGGACAACAATAATCTGATTTTAACACGATTAAGACAATACTCTGATTAAGAATCTACCTTGTAAACAGAGATTTTTGATTACCTTAATCCGGCTAAAGTCATACTCGAAGTAAACACAAATCGAATTAAGACATGTGGAGTATTCCTATTTTTGTCGCATTATTGAAGTGCAGTATAGATATGTACACACTTTAATCACACTATTACAGTCGTATAGGACGTTTCACTGCATTTTGCGACAGGATACACACATGGCAGTGGTCAACCATTTGATGGCAAACAAAAGAACATGGCTTCAAGCAAGAAGGCAAATTTTTATCCATCGTTGTCTGTTTGCATGTATAGCATGACATATAATTAACTGCACTTGAAGCTTTCGCAAAATTAAAAATGAAACACCCAAAACTGTATAGTACTGAAGACGAACTGTATGTTGATATGTGAAATTCTGGAGGCAACGTCGGGAATGGCGTCGCGTGGGAACGTAATGACATGTGCCATTAATCGATCTATGTACTATAACATGTAAAACTGGAACATGAAAGGAATACTCTAAAAGCAACTCATGTAAACACCTTAATCATAATATTGTCTTATTCAGAATAAGGTAAATAATTAGATTACTGATGTCCATGTAAACGTACTCATTGACTAGCTTGTTCATGTGTGTTTGATTAGGGTTCGAGCTAAACTCTACAGGACAGTGGCCCTCCAGGACTGAAGTTGCCCAGCCCTGTGTTAGGCCAATAGAAGTTCCATCTCATTGATGTTAGGGTACTCCTTTCTCCAATGTGGCTGTGTTCATGTTGACTTTCGTAAACTGAATGCCATAAGGGGTCTGGAACAACTAGCTGCCTAATTTTCTCTCCATCCCTTAGGTCAAGAATATATCTGAACATCACTCCATGATGCAACTGAAGACGTTCAAAGTCCCTGCAAAGCTTTTTCAACTCTGGTGGCATACTGTGTTGTCACGCTCGGCTTGGTCTATAGTTTTTGAGCAGCATTGTATATGGGATCTATCAAGGGATCACTTCTTTGTAACTGCCCAATTTCATCCCAGCTGTAACCATTCACCACTTTCTTGATGGATGCTTGTACAGCCACTTTAACATCAATTCCTCCCTGCTCCTCAGGATGCAAGTTGGATGAAATCCTTATCTGTGTCCTCTTGTTCAGGATCTTCCCTGGAGAGAATCCTTGAAAGAACATCAGTATTGGTGTTGAGTCGACTAGGCTTATATAGGCCTAATATAATATAATTTAAGCATTGCTCAACTCCTTCGAGGATGGCTGTCTCCATATAACGTAGAGGAGTATGGTCCATGATTAATGTGAACTTGGACAATATCAGAATTTTTCCATTACAGTCCATTTTAGCGACAGCATTTCCAATTCAAACGCACGGTAGTTCTTATAATTTCTCTTTGACCCTCTCAGCCCTCTACTCGCGAATGCAATGACTCTCTCTGATGGTAAGCAGAGGCTTGAGCAGTTCTGCCGAAAGTCTTAGTTTGCAAGACTTTAAGCTCTTTGAAGATTTTCAACGAAGTATCACTGAAGTGTTGAGTTTTCCATTACAGTCCATTTTAGCGACAGCATTTCCAATTCAAACGCACGGTAGTTCTTATAATTTCTCTTTGACCCTCTCAGCCCTCTACTCGCGAATGCAATGACTCTCTCAGCTCCCCACTGTTTTTGGCTCGATACAGCTCTAAGACCCTGGAGACTCCCATCCATTATGAAGAGTCTTGTGGACAGCACCTGCTTGTGTGCTCAGGTTCGCCACATAAAAAACATATATATATATATATCAGAGGGAATCCAATCACTGTCTTTCAAGGATTGTCTTTTTGGACCATTCTGTTGAGGTCATAACATGCTGTTACTGTGCACTGCTTGGTAAAGTTCTTCCTGATGGGTGGCGATCTTTTGTATGGCCTTGTGCAACTTTTCTAGTGTTAACGTAGATGAAGATTGTTTGGCATCAGCGTTGATTACTCTGACATGAGTGATAGGTTTTGGGTCATTTAGCGTTGGTGTCTCTTCTTCTTCAGACCAGGGTCATCACTTATAAAACTTTTTCCATTTCATCCTAAAAGTTTACGTACGCACAAAAGCTAGATTTTGGGTATGCACAAAAGTTTTCAGATTTATAAAACCATGCGTATGCCAAAACCTGCGCAAAAATCCTTTTATAAATCCCAGTCGGGAAAATTGTGCGTACGTGCATCTCCACCCCAAAATCACCATATATTGTGTGAAATGAGTGTACCAGTCTGTAGCAAAAGACTTGAGAAGATGATGAGAAGACTTGTGATGAGAAGTGAAGGGATGATTTGCGATCAGAAGTGAAGAGATGACTTTAGATGAGTTATAGAGAACTGAGATGAACCAGGGAAGAGATGTCATCTGTATGGCAGGGAAATAAACACACACAAACGTCAATGCAGGCAGAAAATCTTGAGAACTTTCTGGAACAAATTAGCCTAGCGTAGCCATAGCACATATGCAGAATGCCAGAAGGAAAAAATGTCCAACTCACAAAAAAAAAAAAATTCTCAAAGCAAAACTTGATTGCAGTCCATCATCAGTCTCTCTCCAAAAACACCAAAAGGTCTTTCACAAATGTATTTCCTTTTTGCAGACATCCACTTGTGCACTGAAAATTGCATTTAAGTGACTCACAAAGAAAAAACTGAATCATGAACTATAACACAGTTCGTGTATTACTCTGGAACACAGCAGGATCCTCAAAAAATTGCTTAGAATGCAAAATGAACAACAGTGTTCTGAATGAAACTCACGGCTCCAGCAATTCTCTCTCGTGCCCTCAGCCAGTCTCTTAACACTGTTTGCCGTACTTTTACACAATCAACTGGACTTCTGCTTAAATTGCGTCCTCCGGTTTCACACGGCAGTGTCACTGTACAATTAACTCTCGATACTTGAACTGTCC